TATCTATTGATACAGGGTCTCACTGTATAGCTCTGGCTGGACTAGACTTCCTATGTAGACTAGGCTGGTCTCAAATTCAGACTGCCTTTGCCTCCAGAGTGCTGGGATCAAAGGCAAGGGCCACTATGCCCAGAAAGACACTGTCCTCAGTGACATAATTTGTGGGCATCTCTGTGACCTTCATGGACAACAGCAAGATAAACTGCCAGAGACAAGAAGACAGTTCAGGCCATGCAGTGGTGGCGCACGCCTTTGATCCCAGCTCTCAGGAAGCAAAGGCAGATGGATCTCTTTGAGTTCAAGGCCAGCCTGGTCTACAGAGCAAGTTCCAAATAGCCAAGGCTACATAGAGAGACCCTGTCTCAAACAAAACAAAACAAAAGGTGTTCATTCACTTCAACTGACTCAGTAGCAGGTGTTGGTTTAAACTTTGGAAGTCTGATCTTGAATTGTTTACTTTAGGCACATTTAAGCATAGCACAATTCAGTGAAAACTATTCTGGTGATAATTAACTCACTCCTGCAAGCACAACAGATTGTACATGAAAATATCAAAACTCTTTGTAAAGTCCATGAAAATTTTCTGAGAAAAACAAATTTATGTATAAGAGTCTGGGAGAGGATTTGGTACTGGGAAATCTCTAGCCACACAGATAAAGCAAAAGTCACTAAACTAGTAAGCATGCCTGGTCCAGCCTTCTGGGCAGAAAACAGATTTTGCATTCCTTCCCTTGAAGGAACAACTCTGTGTGCTTAACATTTCAGTTTCTCCTATGACAGTAGTGTTGTGCCAGGTTCTCAGAGCCTCAGACCAACCCAAGGAGCCAACACCTCTGATGCTGCAACCCTTTAGTACAGTTCCTCATGTTGTGGTTACTCCCAACCATAAAATTATTTTCATTGCTGCTTCGTAACTCTAATTTTGTTACTCTTTTGAATTGTAATGTAAATACCTCTTAGGCAACCCCTATGAAATGGTTGTTTGACACCCCCACAATGAGTTTCAACCTATGAGTTGAGAAACACTGTCTAGCATGTCTGTGAGCACAAAGACTTCCTGTCTCTAAATACTCCCTCTAGCAAGGCCACACCTCCTAGTCCTTCCAAACAGCCACCAACCAGATACCACATATTCAAATGTCCAAGACTTAGGGAGACTATCTCATTCAAACCACTCAGCAGCTTTCAGGATGTTAACCTGCTGCCTTCTCAGCTGCTGACTCTGCAAAGTGTAAGTTAAATACTCAACTCCTGTCTTTGCTCCTTGAATTCTGTGTAACAGGTATTATGAGCTCTGTCTAGTATTCTGATCACATTCAGTTGTTAGAATTAGCTATAAGTGGTGTGGGAGCTGGGGAGAGACTCAGTTGGAAAGTGCACTGCAGTGCATGTCTATAACCCTGGAGCTGGGAGGGTTATAAACATATATGAATCGTAGCCAGGATGCCTGCTGTCTAGGCAGGCTAGCCAAATACAGAGCTGCAGGTTCTGTGAGAGAATAAGGTGTAGAACAATAGAGGAAGACCCCTGATATGAACCTCTGACCTCTACACATGAATACATGGGTGTGCACCCACCCCATCCCCTGGACATGCACCAAAAAGAAAAGGTCATAGAGGTGAAGCTGGGGAGTAGTCCAGCGGTGGCACACTTGCCTAACATGCACAGGCCCTGGGTTTGATCCTTAAATTAAAAAGAGTAGCAAATGGGTTGGTTCTTTAACCATTCAGTTTTTATCTAGAACTAAACACTTGGAGGAGGCTTTAAGGAGCTGAGTGTAAGAAGAGAATTATAGTTAATGGTTTTAGCTCTGAGTACAGTAGCCACTGTGGACTAAGAGTTTGCTGTCAGCTTGGGCAAAGCCATCTCCTCTAGCTTGAGATCACTTGGCCGGATGGGCCATGAAAACTGACCTTTTCCTGTAACTAGCGTTGACATCTGTGCCTGTGCTAGGACAGTTTCTCCCACCAGCCAGATCCCCCACAGCATCACTGGAGATTAATTACCAAGTTGTAGGTAGAGCAATGGGTTTCTAGATTCCTATCATGTGTCTGCAGAAAGCCTGACGTCTAAGCCAAGGTTGTGGTGTATACCTATCATTCAAGTATTTGGAAGGCTGGGGCCTGAGGATCCTGAGTTTAAAGCCAGCCTGGAATACATGGGGAATTAAAGGTCAAAGTCAGTTACATAGCAAGACCTTGTCAAAAGATTCATGGGCCCAGGGCTTTTGCAAATGTAGCAGTTAAATATTGATAATAGAAAGTGTGGTGGCTGAAGCAGCAGCTAAATGGGTAAGAGCATTGTGTGGGAAAGCAGGAGCACCTGAGTTAAAATCAACTATTCAGCTGTGCTTGCTTATGCCTACATCCCGGGTGTTGGAGGTCACTACAGGAAGGTCACAAGAGCTCAATGGCCACCCATCCTAGCAGAAATGGCTAGCCCCAGGCTCGGTGAAAGGTGAAAGACCTTGCCTCAAGAACTAAGACAGAAAGTAACAGAAGAAGACATCCAACTTCATCCTTTGGCGTGGGCACATACGTCTGAACACATGTGCACACATACAAAGAGATTTTTAATATGTTGAACTGTAAATCATTGGAGAATTACTTGACTGGGTACTGAATACATGTTTGATAGGCAAAGTATCAACTTTTCTTATTTATATATTCACCTTTCTCATAATGTAACCTGAAGCATATATAGAGAACAACAATGACACCTTGGGATTTGGGGGAGGGGCTTGTTTGTTTGTTTTTTGTCTGTTTGTTTGTTTTTTGAGACACTGTCTTATGTAGCCCAAGCTGGTCTTTAACTCTCTTATGTAGCTATGATGACCTTGAATTCTCAAACCTTTTGCCTTCTTCTTCCAAGTGCTGGGATTATAGGTGTGTATCACTATGCCTGGATTTGAGATTTTTGGTTTTTTTGTTGTTGTTGTTTTGGTTTGCTTTTTTTTTTTGGGTTTTCGAGACAGGGTTTCTCTGTGGCTTTGGAGGCTGTCCTGGAACTCGCTCTGTCTACCAGGCTAGTCTCAAACTCACAGTGATCCTCCTGCTTCTGCCTCCCCAGTGCTGGGATTAAAGGCGTGTGCCACCAACACCCGGGCTGGATTTGAGATTTTTATAACCCAGACCATGCCCGTGCTAGGCAAGTGCCTTAACAACTGAGTTACACCTCCAGCTCCTTGTGGATTTTTAAATAGAATGTTTAAACAATTATTTGGGGGGCATGAATGTACACATGCCCTGGTGTATGTGTGAAGAAGTCAGGGAAAATTTGCAGGAGTCGTTTTTACCTAGTGGGGTCCTGGAGACTGAAAAAGATTGTCAGGCTTGGCACCTTCACTCGCTGAGCTCCCACTTTTTAGTAAGCTTGGGGTTTTATTTACTTAAAATCTTTGCTTTTTCTGGAGTTTACTCTGGCATAAATATCTTCAGTGTGATTTCACTTTTTAAGATGAAATCTATGGGGGGTTTTTTCTCTTAAGCATGCTGAGGTATCATCATTACATTCTTAGAAATGTCCTAGGGGACACACAGAAGGAGGTATGGCTGGAGTGACACATAGTGGTGGGGTGGGGGAGGCAGTTGCCACCTAAATAACAGATTCTCCAAAGACCATGAATTATGTAGGAGTAACATTGCAATAGGAAATTCAATCTATTGTAAATGATGTAAATGATGTATTTAAGGAGGTTGAGGCAAAGGTAAGGCAAAACACAGGTCACTACCTGTGTCATTTAAAAATAGTCCTTACCTATAGGGATACATCAAGCACTACACTGGTCTTTTTTTTTTTTTTTTTTTTTTTTTTTTTGATGGACAGGTATTAGGCATCCTTGAAGGAAAAAAAAAGTCCCTGTGCCAGGTTGTGGTCCTAGTCTTTTTTTGTTTTTTCAAGACAAGGTTTCTCTGTGGCTTTTGTGGCTGTCGTGGTACCAGCTCTTGTAGACAAGGCTGGTCTCAAACTCACAGAGACACACCTGTCTCTGCCTCCTGAGTGCTGGGATTAAAGGCATACGCCACCAACACCCAGCGGTCCCAGTCTTTTGACATAGTTTGTTTCTCCTCCTCCTACCCTACTCGTCCTCCATCTGTTTGCTCTGAGATATGGTCTCCCTTCACTATGCAGCCCAGGCCTGAACCCACTAAAAAGCCTCAGCTTGCTTCAAACTGGAGACAGTCTTCCTGCCTCAGCCTCCCAAGTGCTGGGCATGTAGCTCAGGGAGTAGAGCACTTGGCTAACATGTACAAAGCACTGGTCTAGACCACACACACATAATAACAAATAATATAAGAATATAATTGTATGTTACCAACTGTAATATATATACCGAGGTACCTACAGTCCCAGCTCTTTCTGTTAAAGTGGCCAAGCAGACTCAAGTTTGTGCTGTCTTGTGCAAAGGTGTTCTCACCCTTATGGGCCATGCATCATTGGCAGCTGGGTGAGTAAACTCGTTGATGTAACCCAGCGAGGCTCAAGCACCCTCAGGTGGATTTGGGGAAAGATTGAATGCCCTTCCCAGAGGCAACCTCAGGATGCATCTAGAACCTTCCTCTCTAACTAGGCTGGAGTAAAACTTAGGAATCCAATGGAAGCAAAGTTTTTACAAAACTCCTAAATCTTCCTTAACGGACCCTTTTTAAACATTTGCCCCCAAAATGTCAGCCTCAACGAACTGACTCATAGACTTAGACAATTAAATACACAATTTGTTCCTCTTCCCCAATCAAGAGAGATTTTGTGTGTTTTTCTTTATCTTTTGAGGCGAGGCCAAATTCTGGTGAGCAAACCAACTTGGAATTCACTGTGTAGCCCAGGTTGACCTTAAAGCAAAGCCTCCCAAGTGCTGGGATTACAGGTGTGGGCCACTATAGTCAGATAAGAGTTTTCTTTTTTGTGTGTTCTTATTTTGTTGTTGTTTGAGTCAGTGGCCTCAAGTTTCCTAAGTACCTGAAACTTCCCTTAAACTCCTGACCCTCCTGTCTCCATCTCTCAAGGGCTAGGATCACTGGCCTATGCTACCACACCTGACTAAGTGTTTTCTTTATTAGAGTTCTCATACTTCTACACCACCTCAGCAGTGAGGCATGCTGGCCCTTTAACAGGTGAGCAGGAGGCACAGCTGAGCCTTCAAAAGCTAGGAGAAGCAAGCAGACCCTGGCCCAGGATGCCATGGCTTACCTACGGGGGAAGTTCAGCAGCAGTCAGGTGGTGGGTGTGGGCAGCAGGGTGTCACTGTGCACAGAAAGTGGTTGGTTGTATTCTTCCAATGCTTAGCGAGCTCCCTAACTTCTGTCCCTCCTTGAAGCTGAGCTGGTAAGGTGGGAGGGTGGAGGGTTATATAGTTATCTGAGAGCTCAGACTCTTGCCGCTTGAGGCCTTGGGTCAATAATTCTCTGCCCACTGTGCTGAAAAGAGACCATGGATGTTCTAGTGGCCACCCCATCCTTATCGAGGGAAAGAATGTGTGTCTCTTCTCTGTCCCAGGTTTCCCTTCCAGAGGCTTCTCTATCAGTGGGGCGCACAACTGGCAAGAAAGGCTACCAGGCTGCCAAGATGAAATGCCTTGAAGGTTTCACCAAGTGGGCTGAGTGTCTGCATAAAATGTCCAGAGGTGCACAGGCAAGAGGTACACAGCAGCATAGCTGAGAAACCAGGCTCGGCAACAGTGACTGAACGCTCTTCCATGGCTAGCTACTGAGATAGATTTTTCTAGGCTTTTGTTTTCCTTGCCACTGTGGAAAAACTGTCCGCAATGTTCTGACAGCACTGTGTGACTGTTCAGTAGACATGCAGTGTAAAGTATGGAGCATACAGCAGCGTTAAGTTGCAATGAATTGGGACAGCTGAGACCAGCTCATTTCAAGAGGTAACAGAAGGGCTTGTTAGATTAGGAATTGTGAATGGAGAAAAGCCTGTGGTATTCATTCAGACCATTGAAGAGACAGGAGGACACAGGGTTTGGTGTCTACCAAGTGTTGTTCACGGTAATGGAGGCTCACTTGGGAGTGTTCTGGGGACAGGAGGACTAAAATAGCACAGAGGTGATATTTAAAATGGTCTAGAGATGGCTTCTAACCGGAAGCGTTTAAGATCAGAGTCCTCACACCAATGTCTCCATCTTCTTCTACAGGCCTGCACTTTCACCAGAGGCCAAGAAAGTTCTCTGGTCCCTTGGCTCCTGAAGAAGGCTCAGTATCTGCCTTCCACCTGGAGGACGTGGAAGAAAAGGAGAACGAAGAGGAAGATTTGTGTTCAGATCCGGCCCCAGATGTGGAGGAGGAAGGGAATGATCTTGGGGACCCAGCCATACTGAGTGCCATCCAAAAGGCACAAGTGCCGTGGCAGGTAGGGATGGAGAGAACAGTCCGGACTCCAGTTCACAGACTGTCAGTCGACACTCTTCTCGTTGCCTCTACTTCTCTGCTAAGACCCATTTTGAATTAATATGGTTTATTTCAGGTATGATGCCGAATTGAGGTTTTTTTTTCCTTCCCTCTTTCCCCTGTCTCCCATTTAAGTTTCTGCAGCTGTCTTTTACATTAAATCAGGTCCAAGCCAGGTGTAGTGGTGCGCACCTGCAATCCTAGCTAGCACTAAGACTCCTGAATAGAAACAGAAGGATCGAAACTTGGCCCCAGTCTAAATTACATAAAGAGTCACAGAAAGACCACACACACATACACACACATCCTAAAGCCAAACAAACAACAAAAATCCACAAGAAGGCTGGAGCCCAAGGAGCAACTCAGTTGATAAAGCCCTTGCCTTGCAAAGGTAAGACCTGTGTTCATATCTTCATAACACATGTAAAACCCTGTATACAGCAGTGTGTACCTGTACTCCTAGCCACTGTGAGATGGAAGGTGGAGACCAGAGGGACCTTAGAAACTTAAGGCCAGCTCACCCAGCCGATGTGGTCAAATTCCAGACCAGTGAGAGATCCTGGTTCAAGATAAAGGTTAAAAGAACCCTGTAGACCCCTGTAAACCAACATCTGAGGTTATCCTTTAACCTCCACACACACAACATGCTAATGCATGTGTACCTACACAAATGTGTGGACACAAAATCCCAGCACAGTCCTTGTCTCCCATAGACAGTAACCCTACTATTGGTGAGTCACTTTTGTGTTAGCCCTTGTTTCTTGGTAGGCCATTCCTAGTATTTGAAGCCGTAAATTCACATGACCAATGGATAAAGACAAGGACTTCCAATATAAGGTGACTCAGTCCTCCTGCAATCTATTCCTAAAATGTTAAATCTTCTCTGGAGGAAGGAGGATCCTGGCCCATTTGGCCTTGAGGATAAAGGGGAAGGTCAGTCTGTTACTTCCTGGATGTTGAAATAATTGGCTTTGCTGCCTGAGGCTTGTTTCCAGGAAAACAAAAGCAGAAGACAGTGGGGGGGGGCATTTGAATCTGGCATTTCTTCCTTTCTATTCCAGAAAGGGCTGCATGGTTCCCCTGGAACCAAGACCCTTGGTGCTCTGGGGATGTCACAAACTTCTATCCTGTGAGGAGGTGACTGAGTGATCCAGAGCATTCCATTCCTAGAAGTATTGTCTTGCTTCCATTATGTTCACTCTACCCTTCTCCTTGTCCTAGAGATGAAGCACCCGAGGCATTGGTACAGGGTGGACAGCCACATCATGTAGAAGAGCTTGGTAAATGACAGGTGGTGCAGGATGGCCTTAAATGCTACAGGAACATCTGCCACTCATACTAAATGGGGCAAGTTATAGAGTCCTGCTCCAACATTATAAAGTATCTCAGCAGATGATCAAGTGCTGATCATAGAGACAGGAAAGACATCTGCCATCCATGAATTACATAATAGTGTGACAACTGACAGCTAGGAAATCCAGTAGGGAGAGCTATATGGTAACTGAGCTCTGGGGAGGGCTGGGGGGGGCAGAAAACACACAGAGGAGCCTGCCCTCGGTAGCTGAACACAGAACACAAAAGCATGGGGGTATTCAAAAGCGTGTCCTCCCCACCCATCCTCGGGGACTGGAAAAGCAACTTCCAGGAGGTGACAAGCTGTCAGAGGCCAGGAACACAATCTCCACAGCTACCTTGAGGATTCCCCAACAAAGCAAAACATTGGGCAAATTATTGAGGGGAAAAGGCAAGTGAGGAACCCAGAGAGAAATGACCTGAGCAGGGGCAGCATTCTCTCCTCTCTCAGTGGCATGTCCCCCTTGTGCCCTGGACTATCTCTCATCAATTTCTTTTCAGCCTGTGTTCCCAAGAGTCAGATCTTCAGCCTGCCACTTTGGACCTCGCCAGCCTTCGCCAGATCCTCTTCTGTTCTATAGCCCACTGACCCCGTGGCTTCATAAACTCAGGTACCAGTAACTGCATTATGAGGACAAGCTGAGTTCCTCCTATAGGTCACAAGACATGGTGGCCAAGGACCACCTCTGTCGTCTTTTATCAGTTGCCACAGAAAAACACTTAGATTTCAGTAACAAAAATCAGAAGCATAGTCCAGTCTGGTTCCCTGACAGCTGAAGGAACAGAGCTCTGAGGAAATTACCAAAGCGAGGTTGGCTACCCTGGCAGAACTGAGGCTGGGGCTCAGAACTAACATCCACGCCCAAAGATTACTGCTCTGCCTAGATTGTCTGTTGTCAGTTACAGAAAACATCTTGGGATGGGGAAATGAGGGTTGTGGTGATTTCTGCTTTTTGGTTTGGGGGAAGAATGCAGACCCATAGGGCTGCCTTAGATGTTCACTGGTGCTTACCTGGTCTGAGTGGATGGAAGGGTTGGGGCGTAGAGAAGTTTCCCACTAGCTGACTTCCTTTTCAGCCTTCCCAGCCATCTGACACAGCTCCACCCTCAGCACCAACGGATCCTGCTGCAGCAGCAGAGACAATCAGTGAGGTAAAGCCTCCATGAGAAGCAGGGCTGAGGGGAAGCAGTCTGTATGTACACTGGGTATTTCCTTGTGACTACCTGTCTTCCCTCACTGCATAATGGTACTCCATCACTGTTGCCCAACACTGCACCTTTTCCAGTCCTTCCAAGAGCACTCCACTGTCTGTTCACTTCTCCTTGGAAGTCACTATGACAGGGCATGCCTAACGGGATGTTTCTGCTGGCTTGAAGCCTCCTAGCCCAGAAGCCTTGGTCTCTGAAGCCAGACACCTATGCTAACCTCATGACCCAAAAAGAGAAGGACTGGGTGATAAAAGTACAGATGGTTCAGCTGCAAAGTGAGAACCCCCGCCTGGATGATTATTACTACCAGGTGAGCTCGGGCCCAGCTTTTGACCTGGGCCAGATGAGTTAGGACTCATGGGCCTTCTTGACCCTCTCTTCAACTCCTAGAGGCCACATCTGTTAGGTACTGGCACAGTCACTCCAAAGTAGAATCCATCTTTCTAAAGTTTGTGTCCAAGATCCTTCCTTCTAGTCTCCTACACTTTGGTCAAATGGGGTTATTTACTGTTATCTAAATACCCAAGGTTTGTTTCCATCCTTTTGAGAGGTTCCTTTATATCTACCCTTGAAGTATGGGCATGTCCACTTCTGTGCGCTTTCTTGAACCTTCAGAGTGCCTTGTAAATGCCCACACATTTGCCTGCTCCCTGGATCCTCAGGAGTACTATCAGAAGCTAGAGAAGAGACAGGCAGACAGAGAGCTGCTTGGACAGAGGAACAGGACTAAGTCTTTCAAGCTGGTCACACCTTACATCCAGAAGGCAGAAGTTTATGAGTCAGGTATGGCCAGACTGCTGCCTTGGTCTGGATATCTAGGTGGGTGGGTGTTCCTATAGAGAAGCATGTTCCCCCTGGCTCTCTTTATGCAGTGGTACGAATTGAGGGTTCCCTGGGCCAGGTAGCTGTATCAACATGTCTTAGCCCTCGTCGAGCTATTGATGCTGTATCTCATGGAACTCAAGAGCAGGTAAGAGTGTGGGATCATCCTAGACTTTTTTCTGCCCCCTATTATCTAGAAGACACTCATAGTTTGGGTTTACACACTCTTATGTTGTGACATAAAGGTGAGGAAGCAATGTGGTCAGACTTTGTGTCTAGCCTTTTCCAGCTGCATTGATGGTGTGGCTGAGGGCCAGGGACTCTTTGTGCCTAGGGTACAGGAGCTGCAAGCAGTCAGAGGCTTCGAGTATTATCCCTGATTGAGAAGGTGAGATAAGCTCACTGGGGGATGCTCTTGACTAAATGTTAAGGATAGGATGTTGCTCAGCTAACCTCTTCCCCTCCCAACTGTCAAATTCCCAGATGTTCCTTCAGTTACTAAAGATAGAGGAGGGCCAGAATGTTGGGTTTCCACAACTCTACCACTCGGGGGAACAGAGCAACCAGGTTGAGAAGCTCTTTCAGGCCTTAAAGACCCAGGAGCAGAACAATCTGGAGTGAGTATGAAGAGAGTTCCAGCTTAGCCTCAGAGGAGGAAGATCCGCAGTGGGGGGGGGGGGGGTGGAGGACTCTCTGCTGGCATGAAATGCCGCCTTTCCCGGCACAGCTCTCAAAACACTTTCCTCTCTTCCCTGCAGGGAGACAGCAGATAGCCTTCTGCAGGTGCTGTCTGTGAGGAAAGGGAAAATTTTGGTGGCTCGGCTGCTCCCCTTCTTGCCCCATGATCAAGCCGTTAGCCTTCTCCTGTATATCATCTACCACCTGCCCCTCCTGATCCTGAGGGACATGGATGACCAGGTGCGGTGGCAATGAGTAGCAGACAGGGTGGTCTCATGGGTTTGGAGTCTTTCCCTCCCTGTCCCTTCCCTTCCTAGAGGTGCCAGCAAGATGTAGAGTGGTGCTACGCACCCCTCAGACAACGAAGTTACAGAGCAAACAACCGTAGCAACAGCAGATCCTCCTCAGGTATGATGAGCAAGGGAAAGCAGGTGACTGCTGTACAGGTGTGAGTTTGAGACAAAAGGGTCCTCTGAGGGGTGAATCTCATCTACGTCCTATAAAACCACTGTAAAATAAGCCCGTATTCTAGGACTCTATAGGAACAGAGTGTGAGCAGTGTTCGGCCTGGCATGGAACCTAACCAGGAAGGTGTCAAAGGCGGTCAGCCAGGGAAGGAACTGGAGGCAAAGTATGAGGAGATGAAGTTGTGGTAGAGTTGGGATAGACACACTCATTTTCTTGCAGGCTCTACACATGCTGTTCAAACCTCTGGGAAAATATATCAGTCATTTGACCTTCCATCAACTCCTCCATGGACTGCGAGGTCTAATGTTGCTACCACCTGGCTCCTCAGAGCGGCCAGTCTCTGTGGTACTTCAGAATCAGGTAATATATCTGGGATACTCTTCTCTCCACAGATGGCTTTTTGTTTGTTTTGATTTTTTGAGACAGGGTTTTATATAGCTTAGCCTGGTCTAGAACTCTCCATGTAACCAAGGATAACCTTGAACTCATGAATTTTATGTTGGCTGGCATGTGCCACCATGACAGGCCTCCCATAGATGACTTCTAAATGGTGCTACTAGAAAGAAATAATCAAGAGAACAGTCTTCACCTCTGCTCAAATCTTATCCTCAGTAGCACTTCTCAATGTCTAGTGAGAATGGGACATGGTATACTCCTAGTACTCAGGAGGCTGAGTCATGAGTTCAAGATCAGCTTAAGCTTCATAGCAAGTGTTAGGTCACTCTAAATCTGTCTCAAAAACAAACCTTCCAGTGAACACAGAATCATCAGGAGATAGCTTATTAAATACCAGGTCCCTGGTCCCACTCCTAGGAACACAATGAGGAGCTGTGTGTGTTGGTGGTGGGGTATCTGTTTTCCCCCATTTCTTTCTGTTCCCTTCCTTTCCCTATCTCTTTTGTCTTTCCATACTGTCTGACACTGTTGCTTATGAGTGTGTGGTGAGGCTTGTGACAAACGCCATGGTGGGAATATCATGTGATACGGGACTTCTCACCTCCTGGCATTTAGAAAAGAGAAGCACACATCTTGGCTGGGGGGAGGGGGTGTGGCTCAGTTGGTGGAGTGCTTGTGGGGCATGTATGAAGTTCTGGCTTTGATCTCCAGCACCATACCAAGTGAGTGTGGTGGTGGAACATACTTGTAAGGGAAAGTAGAAACAAGGGTATCGGGATTTCAAGATCATCTTTGTCTTTCTGCTGAGTTCAAGGTTAGCCTGGACTATCTGAGATCTATATCTGGAGAAATGACACAACTTTTGTGATGGACTCCCTGTGGCTACTGGTGATGTGAGTTTCCACATCAGAAATCTCAAAATTTTTTATTGTGTGCCCTTTAGAGTAAATGTAAAAAATGTGGAGGCTTCCCATATGTTTATAATTTTAGTTCTTTTTTTTTTGGTTTTTACGAGACAGGGTTTCTCTGTATAAGTTTCGGAGGCTATCGGTCCAGCCCGGCCTCAAACTCACAGAGATCCACCTGCCTCTGCCTCTCGAGTGCTGGGATTAAAGGCGTGCGCCACCACCGCCCCGGCAATTTTAGTTCTTTCTAAAGTAGAGATAAGTTGTTTCTTTGTGCTGAGCAAGGGCTTGTGTGTACTAGGACCTTCCCATAGCATAGCACTGAACCCCATCCCCAGCCCACAGCAGCAAGTCATGAAGTATGCCACTCTAGACTTGACAGTGTCTGTCAATCTCTAGTGAATTCTCTTGTGCACCCTAATCTATAGATCTGGTTAAGGTGGTACTTCTGAAAGCGTGGCCCACAGACTACCTGCATCAGAGTCCAGATTCCATGCCTCATCCACTAACTGATTCCTCCATCTAGTCAGCCCTCCAAGACTTGCTGAAAATTCAGGGCAATGATTCCTTTGCCAATGTCAGAGTTCTTTTTTTAGCTATAAAATCTGATGGTTCTTGTGGTTTTGGTCTCCATCTGTACACGCAAAGCCTGTCCTTCAGGAGGAAGCCAGCAAACCAGAGAAGCACAAAACACCCAGGTGACTTCATTTTCTCTTGAACTGTCTATCACTCATAGTTTGGGATATCACTGCTTTATGCCTTGCTGAGTCATGGAGAGCAGCTGGTGTCCCTGGATGCTTCCCTTCGATCCAGCAGTGACTGCACAGTTTGGTAAGATCATAAAGGTCTTATCAACACATTCCAATATCCCTGAGTGTTTAGGGTGAGCCTGGGGAAAGGGTCCCTGAGCAACACATTCAAGTACCAGGGAGGAAGCTGGGCAGAGAAAGAAGACATAGCAGAACGGTGTCTTCAGGCCCCACGGCCCCACGGTGCATCCTAAAATGTTTGTTTCTCACAGAGGACGGGGTCATAGTAACTAAAGAAGATACATTTTAGAGTCAAATGGACCTGTCTACTGCAGTGTAACTTTGAGGCATTTCATTTCTTAGTCTGTTTCTTCATCTGGGAGTGGTGCTATTAACTCCTTAGAGTTATTAAGGTCAAATAGGAAGGAGGATGGATAGACATTATTGGATATGTACCAAATGTACAGATGTTACCTCTTAATTGCTATCTGGAATGGGATCAGTGACTGCAGTGGTGGACAAATAATAAGGGAATTTGCCTGAATATCAGTTTCCTGCATCAATCTAAAAGCTCTGCTGGGTTTTTCTTTTGGGTCCATCAGGACAGACTTGGTGATTCTGATTGCCTGGGAGATCTCTCAGTTACCTGCAGCATCTCTCGCAGAACCCCTAACCTTCCCCAGGAACCTGCTTCCCCTGTTCTGTCATCACATGGACAAACAATTAGTTCAGCAGCTGGAAGCCAGAATGGAGTAAGTGCTTGTAGAGACAGTCATATAACCCTTATTTAGGTCTGTGAATGAAATCTCTTAAAAGCTGTTATTTTGTTTTGGTTTTTGGTTTTTGGAGACAGGGTTTCTCTGTGGCTTTGGAGGCTGTCCTGGAACTTGCTTGGTAGTCCAGGCTTGTCTCGAACTCAGAGATCCGCCTGCCTCTGCCTCCCGAGTGCTGGAATTAAAGGCGTGCGCCACCAACGCCCGGCTTTCTCTTAGAAGCTGTGAGCATGGAAAAATAATGTGCTTTAGACAGAGTTCTCTGGGCTGGGCATGGTAATGCATGCCCTTGATCGCAGCACTTAGGTTCAGAGGTGAGTTCCAGGTCAGCCAAGGCTGCATAGTGAGATATGAAATTCTGTCTCAAAAAAAAGTAGTTCTAAGGTCAGGGAGATTGTTCATCAGAGGGACTCACATGGTGAAATGAGACAAATGACTCCTAAGATTTGTCCTGTGACCTCTGTGGAGTGTGTGTGTGTGTGTGTGTGTGTGTGTGTGTGTGTGAGAGAGAGAGAGAGAGAGAGAGAGAGAGAGAGAGAGAGGTGTCTAGGATGTGTGTGAGCAAGCATGTAAATGTAATAAAACATTAACAAATTGATTTAGACCCTCAGGTATTTTCTGAGTAACCAGTCTTGACTCATTAGGGTCCTTCCAACTGCTTGGCCAAACATTTACATTTATTCCCAATGTTCAGTCATTTGTAGGTGCTGCCGGAGTCTGCAGCAATCTGAGAAGTTGAATAACTAATTCATTCAAAAATAGTTAAAAGAGTATTCCAGAATATAAGCGAAATAACAGAGGTATTCTCTGTCCTCAGTATTTACCCGCTGTTAGAATGAGCCAAGCATGACTTAACCATAAATGTTTGTAAAATGGAATTGTTTGCAGTTAACTCTTGTTCTCTTTTTAGACTTGCCTGTACCTAGAGATTTATTAATTCTGGAACTTACATGTGAGAGGTTGAAATATCAGAAATGAAACTACATCACCTGCCTACAATGATACATTTCCTATGCTTTGTTATATTGGAGAACTCTGCCACAAACATTGTCATATCCTTTCTTAAAATCTAAGTGATTTGCCTAAAATTAAGGCATGACTTTAGGTATTATTAAAGAAATATCAAATGATATGTTAACTTGTTTGTAAGTCTAGAATTACAATGAAGGCCATTTTGTGAATGTGTCAAGAATATCCTTTATAAGAGACAAGGCCTTGCTATATGTAATAAAAGTATAATCTGGGACGTTGCCTCAATGTTGCCGAACTTTATATAAACCAAACAGCTGTGCTAAGGCTGAGAGATTCAGATATAAGCATAGGGAAATACTTGGTTGCATTTTGTCAAGTGAAATCCTGAAATCAAAGAACACTGGAGTACCTTTTATGAGCCAGGCTGGGTTTCAGGTAGGAGGATAATAATGGTACACAAATCTCTGATACTTTCAGATTTACACAGAGGTTGGGCAGGAATTGACAGAAAATATCAATTAGTCATAAATACTGTGGGGAAACATGGTATGATTTGGGAGTGACTGGAGTGGAGAGAGGCTTTATACTGGATGAGCCAGGAAGGTGCAATAATAGACGTTGCAGTTGAGTCAAAATGTGCAGTGTCTGAAAATCAGTTTTTGTAGTCAGGAGGAAGGACCTAGTGAATGGTTTTGTGTTAAACTGATCTTCAAAGCTGCCTGGTGGGAGATGAATCAGATTGCCTGCTTTTGTAAATTCTAGGCTCTGGGGCATCTGATGGGAATGGCTGTTTTGCAAAATTCCGTGGGGGCAGATTTCTTGAAGCTTGGGGGGGGCAGTTTTGTGGCCCTGGGTTTTTTTTGGTTTTTCGAGACAGGGTTTCTCTGTATTGTTTTGGAGGCTGTCGTTCCAGCCTGGCCTCGAACTCACAGAGATCCGCCTGCCTCTGCCTCCCGAGTGCTGGGATTAAAGGCGTGCGCCACCACTGCCAGGCATGGCCCTGGTTTTTTGTTGCTTGCTTTTTTTTTGTTTTGTTTTTTAAGGGGCCAGGGTTCTAGACTATCAGAGTCCTTGCTACCAATAAAACCGCACGGGTTTTGGGTCAAACAATGACACAAAACAATAGCACAAAAAATGAAGAGGGGCCAGCAACTGGGTTTCTGGAAAGCTTTGGTAAGGAGCACAGGATGCAGCTGAAAGGACCTGGCGTCTACTGGGCGGAGGGAGGGTAGGCGTAGTTCGCCGGAGTCTGCTTAGCCCCGCCCCCACGCCCAGCTAGACGCGTACTGGCTTAAGACCGCCTCGCCGTTCAGATGACAGTCACAAGATACAAAACACCGCGCATGTCCGTGACGCACGCGGGCGCCTCTGCCGGAAGGAACGCCTGGGCCAGGATGGCTGCCAAGCTGGGGCCCGGAAGTGTTGCCTCCCCCGGCTGTGCCGGGGCCATGGAGCGGGTTCTACCTATGCTGCTGGTGCAGATCCCTGCCAAGGAGACGGCGCAGCTGGGATCGCGGGCGCAGCTGCACCGAGAGCAGGAGGCCCTGGGGAGCCTGACGGCTGCGGGCAGTCTCCAAGTGCTCTCCCTGGCGCCGGGCAGTAGGGGTGGAAGCAGCTGCTGCCTCCCAGGCCCCTTTGGGCAGTAAGTGCTGCGGGACGGCCGTGGAGTGCTGGACAGCTGCAGAGCGTGGGAGGGGTCCGAAACTTGAACCGTTCCGGCAGCTCCTGAGGGGATGCCTGCGTGCTCTGTCAGCGTGGGGTGGTGGCAGAGGGGTGACGGCGGGGAAACACCTCAGAATTGAGCCCCATTCCTCTCGGAACCTTTGGCATCCCACCCGAGGTGAAGTGTTCACCTTGTTGCATCTTCCTACCTCACTGACTTCTGGGTGGGCAGACAAGATAGCCCACTCCTCGATAGTCTCTGCGAACCCTGAATGGGTCCCAGCCCAGGTGCTGATTCTTTAACTTAAAACAGATTGTTATAGAAACGAGGAAGTCTTCCTTCGCCTCCTCTTCACTGTGTGGCTGTGGCAGTCCTAGAACTTGATACATAGATTGGCTGGGCTCGAACCTGCAGAGATGTGCCTGTCTCTGTGAGCTATCACACCTGACTTTGTTTAAATGTGTCAGATGAGGCTTCTAAATAATTTCAAATATCCATCCTGTTACCGAAATCGTGTTTTCTTGCAAACGTAGCCCTCCCCTGCTTCTCCTTAAACTTGTCCTCTCAGTGCTTCTCCTTAAACTTGTCCTCTCAGTGCAAGTGCTCTGGGGCCACTGGACTGTCCCAGTTCTGCCTTCACCACGTGTCAGTCACAGGGTGTCTACACAGCTGACTTGCAATTCACAACCCTCCTGTTTTAAACTCTCAGTGCTGACATTACAGGCTTGTATCTCCATGCCTACTGTTTCTTAGACACAGGCTCCCATTGATTGAGAAGAGAGACAATTACAATAATGTACTACTTTCCACTTTCATAAATCTTGATCCAAGGTGGACATCATAAAGTTTAGGAGTGCCCTCAGTATATGCTGACCTTTTTTAATAATGGGAAGTATCTTAGGACCAGTCTGTATGAGACTGTATAGCCAAGAAGTTTCTCACTTTGGAATCTCCAGGTTCTGTAACAGTTTGGTATGTACAAGACTAGGTCAGCAAATATTTTAAGCTCCCCTTGAGATAAGCCTTAGCTGATAAGGTCTTGTGGAGCTCAGGCTGGCCTTGAACAAAGGATGACTGTGCTAATCCTACCTCTGCTTCTCCAGTGCTGGAATTATAAGTATGCATCACTACGTCCAGCTTTCCCTTATTCCCCTGTGTGAATGCTCATATATCTGGTGTGTGTGTGTGTGTGTGTGTGTGTGTGTGTGTGTGTGTGTGTGTGTGTGGAGCCTGGGAGTCAACATAGGTGTCTCCTCTGTCACTCTGCACCTTATTTTTTGCCATGGAGCCTCTCACTGGACCTGGAGCTCATGGATGGCCTGAATTGGCTATGCTCTCTCTGGCGGCCAGACCTCAGTCTCCAGATCTCAGTGCTGGGATCAGAGGTGTGAGCCACATGCTGGCTTTGGATGTGGATGTTGGGATCAGACCTCATGCTTTCCCTCTGAGCCATCTCTCCAGCCCCTTTTAAAAGTTCTAATTGAACTGAATGTTTATTCAGTTAAAATGTGCTATAGAGTGAAAACAAGGACAGTGTTTTAGAAGTTATGGTTTGTGTCCTATTTTTCACCAAATATATAGGTTTTAATCTTATATTTTTTAAGGATTCATTTTTATGTGCTTGTGTGTATGTGTGCCACATGTGTGTATGTGTGTGCCACATGTGTGTGGGTGCTTGTGGAGGCTAGAAGAGGGTGTCAGAGCCTCTGGAATTGGAGTTGCAGGCAGGTATGAACTGCCCGGTGTGGTGCTGGGATCTGAACGTGGACACTCAGGAAAAGCAGCTGTTCTTAGTCATGGGGCTGCCTCCTTTTTTTTTTTTTTTTTTTGAGACTGACTCTCCTGTGTAACCCAGGCTAGCTTCCAACTCTTGATCCCCTTCTTTAGGTCTTTCCAGTAGTGGGATTACAGGAAAACATTACTGCACCAGCACATTTGGTGTGTAGCTCTTTTTATATTGCTTAGGTTATTGTATATCATCTGTTCTTTTCATCAAATTTCCTTTCTATGTGATAGTATTGTCCATGTGCTAATGAATTTAATGGGATAGCACAATGTTCTCCCTATGGGAAAGCACAGTGCTTTTAAATATTTTACTTTGTTTAACCTTTTCCATAGTTAGTATTTAGGTTATTTCCCAAATTTTCAGTGTAAACAAAAATTAGGTGTTTGTGGATATAAGAAATTATTCCTGTTATATAAAAATCGGAAATATGAGCTATTTTTGGGGGGCGTTCAAGACAGGGTTTCACTTTGTAGCCCAGGCTGTCCTGGAACTCAGGGTAGACCAGGCTGGCCTCAAACTCACAGAGATCCACCTGCCTCTACTTCCCAAGTGCTGATATTAAAGGTGTACACCACCTTTCTAATAAGGACTTAATAGACACCCCATTCTGGAAAAAAATGGTTTTAAAGAAAGTTGAAACTATCAGAGTGGTAGCTTCATCTCTTCAACTGCATTGTTTTCAGAATCGGACCCTGTTGACTGATTTGAGATACGGTATTTCTCTGTAGCCCAGGCTGGCCTCTAACTCTTAATCTTCCTTCCTTAGCCACTGAAGAATGTGATTATTTTTGAGCTGCCACATTTGGCTCTGTGTGTTTAGTGATAGTCTTGCTATGTCACTTATGCTGTCCAGGTCCTGAGTTCAAGAGACCCTCCTTCCTCAGCCTTCTGAGTAGCTAGGATAATGAGTACGCGTTGCTGTGCGTGGCTTGGGCCCTTTTTGGAAGGAATAGAAGGAAGCAGTTCCTTGTCCTGTGCTCACTTCATCCCCTACTTTTGGTGTAGAGGGGCAACATGGGGAGAAGCGGGGAGAAGGAAGAGAGTCCTAAAGTAGGTTTCTTTCTCCTAAGTTAGACTGCAGAATTGGTGCTGTCGGGTGAACCAAGCTCTCCCTGTTCTGCCCTTTGATCCCTGCTATTGTGGTAATTTGGAGTGTGGGTGTTGAAATACAGTAAGTCTAGACTTTTTTTCTTAGCTTCGCATGGGAGGACTCTCATGACAGCAGCATATCCACAGGCAAGCCCAAGCTGCTTGCTGTTAGTGAAGATTATGAACTGCTCACATATGAATTTGATCTGAAAGATGGAGGATGCACTGCAACCTTATTACACAGCTGTTGTGGGAAGACACTGCAAAAGCTCATTGAAGATCAAGGAGTCAGTAAGTGTCATGCTTAAGTTTGTGACTTTTGTTTCCTTTTTTGAGACACAGTCTGACTGTGTGGTGGAGGCTGCCCTCAAATGTGATCCTCCTGCATCGGCTTCACAAGTGCTGTCATCTCAGGAGTGTGCCACCATGACCTTCTATAACCATCATCTTCTATGAGAAGTTAATTAAACTAAGTAATATATGCAATTATTTAATAAGTTAAATAATACATTAATCAACATATTATATATTGTATTATGGGATGTGTATACTATATTAATATATCATAATATAATTTAAATAATACATATTAAATTAGTTCACCTGTTTCTTTGGCTGTTAGTCACATTGAATCATATCTCTCTCATGGATTAGTTGGTGACTCTTATATTTTACTAGACAGTGCTGACATAAACTGTTTACAGAACTATTGACTGTGTCTTCGCCTGATGAGCTG